GGTCCTTTCGGAGGAAAATTCGCGATGGGAAACTAGATGAATGGAAGTCCGACAGTGAATGGACAGGCACACAGGCTCCCCGACGGCGCGCGCGCGCGCGCGGGAGACACCATTCCGTGTTTCACAATTCGCGTCGTGCACGTCGGGTCGCTTTATTACACTTTCCGTTTGTTAACGTCGCCGGCTGACGTTTCGAGAACTCTTACACGCGACGCACCGAGGCGTCAGTGAGCACCGAATTTTTTCGCGAACTTCTGACGTTAACGTCAGCGACACCGCATGACGGTTCTCTCTCTCGTCTTACCGGAATAACGGCACGAGTTGATGAAAGAGAGAAGGACGGAGCGCACCGACGAGGGAGAAAGAAGGAGAGAAGGAGAGAAAGACTGAGAGAGAGAGAGAGAGAGAGAGAGAGAGAGAGAGAGAGAGAGAGAGAGAGAGAGAGAGAGAGAGAGAGAGAGAGAGAGAGAGAGAGAGAGAGAGAGAGAGAGAGAGAGAGAGAGAGAGAGAGAGACTATGAGCATTACGTGACGGTAACGCGGGCGAATAATGAGAGCGGTTCATGCAAAAGCGATTAAACTCGTTTAGCTAAGAGTGCCTGAGCGGATAATAAAATCGCGGGATCTAATTCGATGAACGTGCGTAAGCGATGACATCATTTCGACTCCACCTCACGGCCTCAGAGAGAGAGAGAGAGAGAGAGAGAGCGGGGCATTAATGACGATACGCTCCCGATGGCCGGCCACTCGTAAAAGCGCCGTCGTCGTCTCGCCTGACGCCCGTCGCCGACGATACCGTCGGCGACGCTGACGCCGACGACGCCGACGCCGACGCCGTCGCCGTCGCCGACGCCATCGCCGTCGCAGCAGACGTCGCGCGAGCGACCGCCGATTCTCGGCGTTCCTGCGTAAAATGTCATCGTGTAATCCGACATTCCCCTCCGCGTTGAGTAATGGACTGGCAGCAACCTTCTCGCGCGCGATCAGATTCCGCGACCGCCATTTGTATTTATAGCATTGTCAGGCGCGCGCACACGCACACACACATACACACACACAGATCGCGCGCGTCCTGGGACTCACGCGGCTGTTGGATCATTGAGCGGAATACGTAATAAGAAGGTTTCAGGTCGCGCGCGCGCGCGCTCGGGAATGCGCGCCGGCTTCGACTCGCTCGCTCGTGGATTTGTCGCGCGCGCGCCTTTCTTGCGCGGCGCTTCGCGCTGAGAAATCGTTAGGCAGAATACGCCGGCCCGGGGGGATTACACGAGCCGTTCATAATTGGACGTTACGTCAATTTTCCACGTATTATTCCCTGCCCTGTGGCACCCTGCGTGACAATGGCACGATGTCATTTAATGACATCGCGCGTCGGCGACTCTCTCTCTCTCTCCGAGTGTTCTTCGCTCTCGTAGAGAGCGCGACGCGGCCGAGACAATCTAAATGCTGAATCGAAGACAATTCGGTGTAAACACGACACTTGCACCAAGACTCTTTGTCGCGAGACACACAACGGGGGTTATTATTAACTTGAACGTCCGCAGACCGCCGGCCGACTGCGATTAATCGACGATTAACTCAGTCGGCGAGAGTTGCCAACGTGTCAGAATCAAGTGTGGTTTATTATTAAAATGGGAAAGGGTGTGCTCTCCTCTCGCGCTTTTTTTCTTCGCCCCGTCTACGGTCTGTTGAAGGTAACGTAGACGGGATTATTGATTTATTGCTTTTTGTTGGCCGGTAGATTACGCAGCTCGACATCGTCGGCACAATTTTGCGGATTAATCGTCAGTTTAATTGCTCCAATCGGACCTTGGCGAAAGTTCGTCACCGGCCGTTCTGGTGCAGCAAAGCGCGCGCGTACGCGTTTTTCTTCTTACGAGCGGAAGCCTTCTTACAAACGAGCCTAAAATACGAATGAAAGAGGACCGAGGAAAATTACAGAGGACTTTCTGCGCGACGGCTGGGAGGGGAGAGAAGCTTTTGGAAGCCAGTCAAATTGCGAGACGGCGAGATCGTGCCGTAAAAGTCGCTCTAGCGTGGCCGCGGCTTAACGCACGTGGCGTTGAAATGTAATTTCGCGCGCGTGCCAAGTGCCTAACACCGTACATTTTAATAAAAAGCAACGCGCGCGTGAGAAGGCTAAAAATTACCTCTGCTCACGCGGTTTGTCACGCGGATCGATACGAGAAATTATACTCTCCCTCTCTCTCTCTCTCTCTCTCTCTCTCTCTCTCTCTCTCTCTCTCTCTCTCTCTCTCTCTCTCTCTCTCTCTCTCTCTCTCTCTCTCTCTCTCTCTCTCTCTCTCTCTGCTTATGGCAGACTCGTTGCTGCGACAGCGTGATACGAATTATTTTCAACATTCCCCTTTCGCTTTCCTTCCGCGCTTCTCCTCGCCTACCACCTCTCTCATTACTCGGAATTAATCGCTCCGGATCGATTCGCCGACGTTGCGCCTTGGTCGTCGGGGAGAAACAAACGAGAGAGATCTCGGGACGTTAACGTACGGGACGTTAAGCCCAACTCGTCGACTGTTGAATTATTTACTACTAAACGACCGTCACCCTGACGGTGACGGTGACAAAGAAAGAAAAATCCGGAAGGAGACGAAAACAAGTGTGACTCGACTAAAAAATTCTTCCTGTTGCAGCGATCATCCTCGCTGAGTCTGACGTTTCGTTTTTAGTGACTCTCTCAGCCGTCCAATACGGCGAGTAGGTGGAGTATTTCACCTGTTGTTCGCTTGTATCGTGATCGCTTAAATGCCGTACGTCGGCACGAATCGAAGCGTCGCGCATACACACATACACACATACGTGTTGTACGTACGTGACCCTCCCGCGTGCTTAGCGAAAGCTTGAAACGCCTCGTCGGCTGCCGTTCGGCAGCATTCCCGTCGTGTAAAAGGAACTTTTACAGCGGGACCGGACCGTCGCGCTGATTATCACCGTTTGAAAATAGCGTGCCGGGGATGAAAATTACGTAAACGGCCGCGAATAAATCCGTACGCGCGCGCGCTGCTCGTGCGTCGAGACGGCGTCTCTGCGAAGAAGAAGAACCCCGCGCGAGTTGCTCCCAGTTTTCCCACTCCTTTACCTTTCGTTGTTTATTAAGAAAGAAAGGAAAAAAAAAGAAAACGTCACCGTCGCTCGCTTGTGAGCGCGAGACCGCGCGCTTGAAAAGCGAACGTTCCTCGAGAACCGCTCGATGAACTTTCCTCCGTGAAGAAAGAGAGCGAGAAAGAGAGGGACGGAGAGTAAGAGAGAGAGAGAGAGAGAGAGAGAGAGAGAGAGAGAGAGAGAGAGGAGGACGACGGGGCCAGCTGCACCGACGATCTACTAGAGGGCAACACGAATCGATTATCACTTTGCTAATGGCTCATTTCACTTAACACTCGCCTTTACTCGGCAATCAGGAGCCTCGCCTCACCTTGCTCGCCTTCTGTCTGCCTGTGCGCGATGATAAAGTCTGCTCTCTGTCTCTCTTTCTCTCTCCCTCTATACGTCACTCGCTAACGGAAATCATGAAGCTACGGGGACAGTGAGAAAAGACGGCTCGCGCCGTCTGGTCGTCCGTCCGTTCGTTCGCTCGCTCGCTCATCGTCGATTTACGAACTCGTTGCCGACGTGCATTGCACGGAAACGAGAATTTCCAGGAGGTAAACGCGCTTCGCTCTCTATCTCTATCTCTCTCTCTCTCTCTCTTTCTCTCTCTCTCTCTCTCTCTCTCTCTCTCTCTCTCCCCCTCTCCCGTCAGCATGCCGTTATTTTTGGAGCACCGTGTTTGTGTTCGTATCGGGCGCGTGTGAGAACGAGCGAGTGACAGTCCGAGCCGTCGTTATTTTCCGTTTCGTCGGTCAAGCAGCTGTATTCACACGGCGGACACAGTCAGACTGCGCTACTGTGTTTCATCTGGTTGTGGCGATCAACGCGAATTTTCGCACGGCCGAGACGAGCTGACGCCGCCGCCGCCGCCGCCGTCACTGCCACCGCAGCTTCTTCGGTGCCTCATAACCTCAAATTCAGTCGTTGCAGTGGCGCGCCACCCGCTTGCTCTCCTTTTCTCTCTCTCTCTCTCTCTCTCTTTCTCTTCCTCTGTTTTTCCTTCTCTCTTTCTCTCTCCCTCTCTCTCTCTCTCTCTCTATCTATCTATCTATCTATCTATCTATCTGTCTATCTCTATCTCTCTCGCTATAGCGCTGACAGAAAACAGGACGAGTGACAAACACTCGACTCGTGGCATGGGTCAACCGACAGTCTTGAGGTTAACCCCGGGTTAACCGACCCCGCATTAACGCGCCCCTGGTCTCTCACCCTGGGTCGCCACTCCATGACACGCAGGATCGGAGAGCCGTTTGTTCCAGCGCCGGGTTAAAGGAGTTTGACATTTACCGCGGAACGCGCGCCGCGACGTAGGTCGACGTGGTGGTCGGGGCCGGAGGACGATGTGGAGCGCGATGTTGCTCCTTTCGACGTTGCGGCATCCTCGGAATCAATAATCGCGTATTGCATAAACGAGAGAGAGAGAGAGAGAGAGAGAGAGAGAGAGAGAGAGAGAGAGAGAGAGAGAGAGAGAGAGAGAGAGAGAGAGAGAACGCGTCCGCGTGCCCTCGTTGCCGGATATTCGCGGCGGATTCCGTGACACGCGGCCGATCGCGCGCTATCGATTGCGTCCGCCTTTTCTCCCCCCGACATCCTGACTGAGTGTTGTGTCTCGTGTGTACGCATCGCCGTCGCGGAGGATATGCGCCTCTCTCCGTCCCTCTCCGTCGTGGTGTACTCGCGATACGTTGTTTATCACGATCTCCGCATGAGAATCGCGGCTGAACATCGGCAGACATCGTGACGATTCATGCGGCAAACGAAAGTCGAGGGTGTACTACGCACCGATGTGACGCAAAATGTACATACCGGCGTGTAAAATCTCAAGAGTTCATTATATAGTTCGCTCGCCGGAGCGTAGAACGACGATCTCTAAGAGGGTTCTCTCTTGATGTGTTTCAGCCGTCGGTCCTCCATTCGCTTGGAGGCCAGTGGAGCAGCGACGTCAGAAAATAATACGAGCTGCGGTAGCCTTGCGGAAGCGTAACGGTGGTTGGCTTCGGCCAACAGAGGCGAACGAGATATCATGGCGACGATAGACGGCCGGCCGGCCCAGTATGGTGTCACGCTTAAGCAACTTCGCGAGCTCATGGAGCATCGGGGACGAGAGGGTGTCAACAAAATCAATAGCTACGGTGGTGTGCAGGAGATTTGTAAAAAGCTGTATACCTCACCCAGTGAAGGTAAGATCACTCGCTATGCCTCTATTGGGAGGACAGCGCTGCATTCTTCTTGTAAGATTCAGAGATGCAGAGAATGCGACAAACACACAACAAGTGTGATCACAGTAGCTGTCAGAGAAGCGCTAGAATTTGAGCATGATGGGCGAGAATTTGACTGGACAGAATGGAGTCAGAGAGGAGAATCGATAAGGCCTGTTTCCTGCCTGTCTGAATTGAGAAGTCAAAGGATTGCGGAAGGAGGAAATATTATTCTCCGTGGTCCGCACGTCTGTAGATGCACAGTACGTTTGAACAATAATTTCCTTGATGTAACACCTTGATAATCACACGGCACATGATGCTGCTTGTTGCATCGCCTACGTCAGTACGTTATACATTATAGAGTAATATGAAAGATTTCTTACAATTAAATATGTCATACGCACAAGAAGTAAGCAATGTGTGCCAACACGTGGGATTACGCAAGAAGCTGGCAGAAAACAGAACGTACGGATTTTCCTCCCGGTCCATGAAAGCACTGAGAGCAAGAAATAATGTATTATATAACTATATATCATATATTATAAGGCTAGATTATATTCTAAGAGACGTATGATAAGAAACAAATGATGCCATGATGTCCTGTTACACGCATAGGTCTTAGTGGGTCAACAGCCGATATTCAACATAGGCGAGATACATTTGGTTCCAATATGATACCGCCAAAGCCACCAAAAACGTTTCTACAATTAATATGGGATGCATTGCAAGACGTCACGTTAATCATCTTAGAAGTAGCAGCATTGGTTTCATTAGGTCTTAGCTTTTATCAGCCAGCGGATCATGAGGAAAAACGTGAGTATTTTATGACGTGGTGCGCTACGTTACACTTTATCTACCAGTGGTTTTCCTTTACTGTCTGCACAGTAGACGAAGCGAGTATGATTGTACGCACATCGCGGCTTACAGCTAAAAGCTACATCTACCGAAAACTTTCGCAACTGCACCGTGAGGAATTCCGAACGATCAGCCGCACAACCAGTTCTTCCCGTTTGTTTTTCAGCGTTAATAGATGAGGACGAAGCGAAATACGGTTGGATCGAAGGACTCGCTATATTGATTTCTGTAATTGTGGTGGTCTTAGTGACAGCGTTTAATGACTATTCCAAGGAGAGGCAGTTTAGAGGTCTTCAAAGTCGGATAGAGGGAGAGCATAAATTCTCGGTTATTCGACAAGCAGAGGTGAAACAAGTCTCCGTGTCTGACATTGTCGTCGGCGATATCTGTCAGGTACATACGTGTAAATAGTGTATATTAGCCAGATCTTAGCTAACGATCCAATAATAATAATCTAGATAAAACGATCAGTGTTAACGCGCGCGCGCGGCATCCGTACTGCGAACGATCATTGTTAAATATTAATAACCGTGACGGAGGAGAGCAAAATTTACATTAAATTAGCTGTTTGACAATACAGATAAAATATGGAGACCTGTTGCCTGCAGACGGTATTCTTATACAAAGCAACGATCTCAAAGTGGATGAATCCAGTCTGACTGGAGAGTCAGATCATGTAAAAAAGGGGGAATCGTTCGATCCCATGGTACTTTCAGGTGAGAGCCTCGGGCGTGCCGGTATTTCTCTTATCGTTGGTTTACACTTCTCGTTTAAAGAGCGCTTCGCGCAGGAAGTCTTTAAGAATCTTAAATCTAGAAAGAGACTAACGGTAGACTGTATTCGTCTGTACTGTATTGTTAAAAAGGTACGCACGTGATGGAGGGTTCCGGAAAAATGTTAGTTACTGCAGTAGGTGTTAACTCCCAGGCCGGTATTATCTTTACTTTATTGGGTGCTGCTGTTGATCAACAGGAGCAGGAAATCAAGAAAATGAAGAAAGGTACGTATCGTAATTCAAGCGAGGTCGTCATTTTTTAATGACTACACACGTCTATGGAGGTTACTAAATTCTTGGAGTAATGCGGCGGTCTCTTTATCGAGTACAGAGTACAGAGTTTCTCGAGACTCCATTGTTAGGTTTCGTTTTGGAAACCTTATTTTTCTTACATCTTTTTTATTTATCTCTTTTTTCGAGATCGATATCGGATGTCCCCACTCTATTCTTCTCACTCTGATGATTTAGTACACCTGTCTCTATACTAGCAACTTCTGAATTACTTATAAATTGCTCTGATATATCGAAAGTTATCTCAATCAACCGGACGATACGAATGCGTTATACGATATATTGATGGTATGAGTAGCTCGTGTAGTAGAAGTGGAATTTACACGGGTATTGATCACTGAATAGAAGTTGTTGGTACCATCATACATCCCCGCATGATACTTACGAAATGTTTCAAAATGAGTGTAGACGAATCGCAGTGGACGCATGGTTTTGACGTGAATTGGTGTGTGTGATCATTTTATTATGAATTTTAAAACCAAATCATCTTATATATATATCTCTCTCTCTTTCTCTCTCTCTCTCTCTCTCTCTCTCTCTCCCCCCTGTTCTACTTTCCGACATTGCATCTACGGATGAATCTTTGTACTTTTTATTAACTCATTAATCGATTGGCGAGATTATCTGCATTTTGATTTGTTAACGTTTTTCGAGGACAAACTTGATTTGAACAGTGTACGATATTGCTCAAGACTGCCACAATACAGCAGTATTACTTTATAGCCGCCTGTCCTCCACCCAATTAATGGAAAACTCTTTCTCCACTCGCTCGTTTGTATCGGATATATACCGGTCACGATCGAAGAAACTATCTCTATCGGACACATATACGCGCGCGCACACACATATACATACGCGCATATACACGAGTAAAGTGACACAGAAGTTATTAGATTATCTGTCGAAATCATTCTTGTACTAAAGAACCATTTATACAATTTTACCCGACAAATGCACAACTAATACAATTATCCACAAGTAATTCTATCAAATACGATTATTTATCGTTTCACATATCACAAATTTTGTTTAAACTTCCTCAGTTATATTACGAAAGATAAACCTTCGTCTCGATACTGATTTTTTGAGATGCTACCATCCGATTATGTCTCTCTCTCTCTCTTTCTCTCTCTCTCTCTCTCTCTCTCTCTCTCTCTCTCTCTCTCGTGTTCACAAGTCATTTGTGTTCTCGTTCCTACGTAGCTATAAATGTTTCTGCTGTATAATGTTTACTTATATCTTTTTTGTCTGATGTGTGTATATGAGATTTTACACTCGGTAATTGCAAAATTGGTCAGAGATTATAACTGTTACAGGATTTTTTAAGATAGTCTAATATATAAAGTGTCTTAGAAGTGTTTCGTACTTTTCATGTGTTATCGTTATTTCTCAATTATTAGAGAGAGCCTTCGAGTTTGGAATCTTGTCAATGTGTCAGTAAGAGTGCGGAGGTTTCGAGATTAACTTGTTAAAAAAGGGGGGGGGGGGAATGATTAGTGCCATTTGTTTCGACCTGTAAAGTCAAGTCGAGTGTTATTTAGTCTCCGATATTATACGACTGAGGCTGTGTGTTTTAGTTAGAGCTCGCGGTATTTACGACTCAGTAGGGAAATGAGCCACTTCTGAGACACTTTATACGAGTGGAAAAACGGATGTCGAAAGCATACGTACAATTCCTCTCTTTGGCGACCCATGCTCCTCTGTATGTCTTTCGTTACTGCACAACCTGGAAGGTAAACTCGTATTTTTCGATGTTATCCATCAATGCACTCTCATGCACTATTACGATTCCACTAGTGAAAACTTGTTCGTTTATTATAGAAGCAATAGTCGCTTCTAGTTCTTTGTGTTTGACCTTCTGGGCTGTATCTACCTCATTTGTTAGTGTTAAGTACCTCTCTGCGAGAATCCGAAGCGCAATAATTTACGAGATAACAGACAAAGTTACAGAGTGTGTGTGAATTCCTTTTTAATATGAAACGCGATTTTACCATTGGCATACACACAATTACATAGATAGATTTGCTAATCAATTTCGTTTTGCATGTATTTTTTTATCTAGAGGCTAAAAAGCAGCGGAAGAAGAAGTCATTACCAGGTGAATAATACTAAATTATATATACTTATTGTTTATTACCTTGATATCATGTGTACATATACACATACGTTATTAATGCCAAGGAATTAATCGACCGTTTCCAAGTCCTCTCGAGGCAGCATTCAGTATACTCTTCTTTATTTTTGTCTTTCACTTCATCTTCTTCGTTTCTGCATCGCATCTGAATTTTTCTCCGTTTCCTTTTATTACGTTTTTCTTTTTTCTTGTTTCTTTTTTTTCTTTTTACCATCTCCGTCGTTTATGTCTACGAACTTTGCATTGCAATGTTGCGTATCCAAAGGGATCCCTCTTCCCCGCGGTCTGTTTCTCTTTCTTTTCTTTTTTTCTCCCTCTCTCTCTCTCTCTCTCTCTCTCTCTCTCTCTCTTCCTTTTATTTTTATCTTTTCAATTGCGCTGGTAAGGTTCGATTAAAGTCGGTTTTTTTTCCCCTCCCGCTTATCGTTGAGTGCGACTTAACAGACCTGTGTACTCGGACCTCGATGCAGCCCGCTTCTCGAAGCGCAATAACAGCGCGATTGGTAACAGCTCGGCGTGAAAATTGCGCGCCGCCGGCCGCGCGCGAGATGTCGAGCGCGGATCGCGTGAGTGCGCGACCGAGCCGAGGCTCTATTATATCCAGGCCCGAGTGCAGGGGAAAAAAAGGAGAATTTACGTTGTCCACGCTTCCGTGTTTTCCTATGATTTTTTGCGTGCTCTATTGGCAGTGGTTTATATGCATTGGACACGTTAGCGGCTACCTCGTTCTTGCATAGCTTCTTGTTTTTCTGCATTTTTAGTATGCGCCCTGACAAACACCCTGGTGGTTTTAATCTGTGTCTCTAACGTGTAACTGTTGTGTCTTCTGAATAATAATCTTGGCCCATCTTTCATCAAACTTTTGACTATCGATTAACTCGAGTGGCATCCAGTATTTGATAAACTTAAAACGCTTCACGGCTCGGTACTCCGGACTCGGAGTCCCGAGTCGAGTAACGGTCGAGGCTCGATCGAGGCAGCGACGATGGTGACGAGCACGATGATGATCAGGGAGAAGAAGTCACTGAGACGAGATGACGAGCCGTGATGAAAATTCTCGGTCCGTCGCGGATATCGACACGTCGCGATCATCCGGATCGCTCGATCGAGCCTCGATCGGTGTATCGCAAAGTGTATCACGCTCTAATTGCGGCTAATTGTACACGCAATGAAGGCGAAGAGGCGGTAGAGATAACCGGGAACAGTCACGTGAGCGGTGGCGGCGGCGGTGGCGGCGGCGGCGGCGGCGGCGGCGGCGGCGGCGGTGGCGGCGGCAAACACGAGGGTGGCGAAAATCATCACGTGACCACTAGTGCTACGAGCTCCAGCGAGAGTAGTAAGAAGGAGAAGAGTGTTCTACAAGCCAAGCTAACGAAACTCGCCATATACATCGGTTACGCTGGCTCGACCATAGCGGTACTCACTGTCGTCATTCTAGTCATACAATTCTGCGTGACGACCTTCGTCATTCAGGGCAGGCCGTGGAAGAACACGTACGCCGGTGATCTAGTGCGGCATCTGATCATCGGTGTGACGGTGCTCGTAGTCGCCGTGCCCGAGGGTCTTCCTCTGGCTGTCACCTTGTCGCTCGCTTATTCCGTCAAGGTGATTGATCAACGATTCATCTCGGCTACACCGGCTGTGCCCCGTAACGCAATGTGCAAACGCGCACCGAAGTCCGACTCACTCACGTCAAGTAGAAGATGTCGAAGACGAACGAGCGTGACATCAACTATCGCGGCGCTACGCACATTGCGCGATGAGACACGCTGGAGCCGAACGCGAGCCGAATTGAACACACAACACCATCCGTTGCTCCCTCTCTTTCTGTTGGCCCTGTAGAAAATGATGAAGGACAACAACCTGGTGCGCCACTTGGACGCCTGCGAGACAATGGGTAACGCCACCGCCATTTGCTCGGACAAAACCGGCACTCTGACTACCAACCGGATGACCGTGGTACAGTCGTACATATGCGAGAAGATGTGCAAGACCACGCCGAACTTCTCAGACATACCGAGCCACATCGGCGAGCTGATAATACAAGCCATCTCCATCAATTCGGCGTACACGTCCCGGATAATGGAGTCGCAGGACTCTACTGAATTGCCGATGCAGGTCGGCAACAAAACCGAATGTGCCTTACTTGGATTCGTGTTAGCCCTGGGCAAGAAATATCAAACTGTGCGTGACGACTACCCTGAGGAAACCTTTACGCGGGTGTATACGTTTAATAGTGTAAGAAAGAGCATGTCTACTGTCATTCCCAGGAAGGGCGGTGGATTCAGGCTCTTCACCAAGGGCGCTTCCGAGATCATCATGAAGAAGTACGTATATAGTACCTCCTCGTTCTTATCCCTTCAAACACCGCGCTTTAAACGATCGACCTTGGGCCCCCCCCCCTCCCCTGCGCCGAGATTCAGCGGACTTGCTCTCTCTCTCTTCTCTCCTCCTTCTCTCTCTCTCCTCTCTCTCTCTCTCTCTCTCTCTCTCTCTCTCTCTCTCTCTCTCTCTCTCTCTCTCTCTCTCTCTCTCTCTCTCTCTCTCTCTCTCTCTCTCTCTCTCTCTCTCTCTCTCTCTCTCTCTCTCTCTCTCTCTCTCTCTCCTCTCTCTCTCTCTCTCTCTCTCTCCTCTCTCTCTCTCTCTCTCTCTCTCTCTCTCTCTCTCTCTCTCTCTCTCTCTCTCTCTCTCTCTCTCTCTCTCTCTTCTCTCTCTCTCTTCTCTTTCTCTCTCTCTCTCTCTCTCTCTTTCTCCCCCCCCCTCTGTGACTTGGCTCTCTCGACCCGAAGTCGTTTCTATCGACTTCCCCCACCCGCTTGGAATTCACCCCCGAGGGAATCCCGTTGAGTGTTGAAGCGCGACTTGTGCATGTATATTATATCACGTAGCGAATACGTATGTGTGTGTGTGTGTGTGTGCGCACATATACACACACACATACATACACACACGCATACGCACACACGCTTCTCGTAGCGAGTCGAGTGTAAACTCGACGTATTTTCTAAAGGGTATAACCAGATTGCGCGGATCACAATGAGCGCGCGACGTTCTAAGGTTAACATCGCGGGATTTCCTCGTCCGAGTCTGACCGCGAGCGTGGGGGGAGGCTGAGGAGGTGTATAGGGAGATCTGATCGATCTCTGCGATGAATTTGTGTTGCAGATGTGCCTTTATATATGGTCGCGAAGGACATCTGGAGACGTTTACCAGAGAGATGCAAGAGCGTCTGGTAAAGAATGTGATCGAACCTATGGCATGCAACGGTCTGCGCACCATCTCCATCGCTTATCGCGACTTTGTTCCTGGCAAGGCGGAGATCAATCAAGTTCACATCGACAACGAGCCCAACTGGGACGACGAGGATAATCTAGTGAACAACCTCACCTGCCTGTGCATCGTCGGTATCGAGGATCCGGTTCGTTCCGAGGTACCTGACGCGATTAAGAAATGCCAAAAGGCCGGCATCACCGTGCGTATGGTGACGGGCGACAATATAAACACCGCGAGATCCATCGCGCTCAAGTGCGGCATCCTGAAGCCGAACGAGGACTTCCTCATACTGGAGGGCAAGGAGTTCAACCGTAGGATCCGAGACAGCAACGGCGAGGTGCAGCAACACCTCCTCGACAAGGTGTGGCCCAAGTTGCGCGTATTGGCCAGATCGTCGCCCACGGACAAGTACACCCTGGTGAAAGGCATCATCGACAGCAAAGCGACCGAAAGTCGCGAGGTCGTGGCCGTGACCGGGGACGGCACGAACGACGGCCCGGCGCTGAAGAAGGCTGACGTCGGCTTCGCGATGGGCATCGCCGGCACGGATGTGGCCAAGGAGGCCTCCGATATCATTCTGACGGACGATAACTTCTCGTCGATCGTCAAGGCAGTCATGTGGGGCAGGAATGTCTACGACAGTATCGCCAAGTTCTTGCAGTTCCAACTGACCGTCAACGTAGTGGCCGTGATCGTCGCCTTTATCGGTGCTTGTGCCGTGCAGGACTCGCCACTCAAGGCGGTACAGATGTTGTGGGTAAATCTAATTATGGACACGTTAGCGTCCCTCGCCTTGGCCACCGAATTGCCTACGTCCGATCTTCTCCTCCGTAGACCGTATGGTCGCACAAAACCACTCATTTCCAGGACAATGATGAAAAACATTCTCGGTCAGGCCGTTTATCAGTTGACCGTAATTTTTATGCTTCTTTTCGTCGGTGAGTATCGATCCCCCGAGCTCGTTGCACGCGCGTGCAACGCGCTTCTTCTCTCCTCTGCGGCGGAACGTTCTAAAGCTTCGTCTCTCTCTCTCTCTCTTGTCTGTCCATGATCCGCCAGGTGACAAGATGCTCGACATCGAAACGGGCCGCGGGGTCGCGGCGGCGGGTGGCGGGCCCACACAACACTTCACTGTCATCTTCAACACGTTCGTCATGATGACTCTCTTCAACGAATTCAACGCTAGGAAAATTCACGGTCAACGCAATGTCTTCCAGGGAATATTCACCAACCCCATCTTCTATTCGATTTGGGTCAGCACGTGTTTCTCGCAAGTAAGTCACCGTATGCGTCACTCTTCGTGTCGCGACGTAACCAATCAGACTGGACGTCGTTCTCCTCCATGCCAACCTCATACGACACATACGATTCATTCACAGTTGCTTTAGTTTTCTCTTTTTTTTTTCTCTTTCTTTTCTTCTCTTTACATCTCGGCGAATCGCAACATCACGACGGCTGGCGCTTCTTTCTCGCGCAGGCTTCTTTCCTCGCGAGCATTCCATTTGATCGCGAGATCGCTCCGTCGCTCACACATTTGCGCTTCGGGGATACATCCCTGAGAGCGGAACATTGATAATTGCAGTGAATTGATCGTAATAGGGTGACGAGTGGACGCGAAATGCGCGTATTTAACAAGAGCGACAAACGCGCCGCCGGGTCCGATGGCAAAGAGTCGCCGTGCGAAATTTTTTGCGTTCTTTACGTCGGCGAGCTACGGCTGAATGGGCAGGACGTCGTAACGGTGACTCGAGAGCAGCGTCATCCCGTATAACTCTTTAACAGAACTGTCTGCCTATCTTTTTAGGTGGTCATCATACAATACGGTAAAATGGCATTCAGCACTAGAGCTCTCACGTTAGAACAGTGGATGTGGTGCCTGTTCTTCGGATTCGGTACGCTATTGTGGGGCCAAGTAGTTACGACTATTCCTACACGCAAGATTCCCAAAATTCTTTCGTAAGTTAAAAGTTACGCATACTCACGCACAAGTTTTGTTTTCTTTTTTTTTCTATTTTTTTTTTATATTTATTTTTCTATCTCTTCTGATTTTGAAGCACAGGATTGCATTTTATTGCGAGGAGAGGAGGTCAAAAGCAAAAAGCGATACGAGAAAGAAAGACGCGCCGTTCCCGGCGCGCCCGTGGTGATTTTTTTGTAGATACGAATCCTTGTAGATTTCATGATAGATCTGAAAATTGCGCACATTGCGATTTATCGCAATCCCACGACACGGTCTAAAGGACTTAAAAAAAAAAAAAAAAAAAAACCGGAAAAACAAAAGAAACGAAGATAGCCATTCTAACGTTCTTTCAACGTGCCTTGTTACTTTTATGTTTCAATAGTCACAGACTGCCAGTAATATAACAGTCGCGCGTACATGTTGATAACTTACGAGATCGACAATCAGTCAGCTAAGTTAGTCTTTTGCTTTTCTGCATCGTGACGTTCCTGCGGTGTAACGGTGTCGTTACATCGAGCGAGTGTAAGAGATGAAAACGCCTTTGCAACGAGTGTAGTGTCTTGTCTCATGCAATCACCGAGTGATGATGTCGGCAAAAGAGGAATTTTCAGCATTTTGTACTCGGTTCATAACGCTAGAGTGAAAGCTAGAAATGTCTGTCTAACGATTGCTGTTTTGCCATCACACGAATTAGCACCTTGAGTTTACGTCTCATTAGCGGTAGATGCCTTTGCATGTCGAACCTTGAAGTCACTATATCGTGCTGATCAGTATATACATATATATATATATATCATTATAATCGCAGGGTTAGTAACAGTGTATGTCGATTCCCCGAAGAATGTTGTCTCCCGTATGCAAGCTCGCGCGATTGTTCCGTTTCGACTCGTCACTTGATCTTGTCCTTCGTGTCAGTAAAATCGCAAGGATTACCGTTGTGCGCAAGTTTCGCCACATTTCCGTCGAGATGTGTAAACGAGTTGCTACATTACGGAATTAAGGGTAAATGGAGCTGATAAGAGCTCATTATTTCGACCCTGTTATTTCCTTCATTTCGACGGTGTATCAAAGAGCCTCAATTTCCATATAATATTTGCGATTGAAACGCTCGCCTTTGTGATTGGGAGCTATCGATTAGTAGTGTCTCCCATCACATTGTATCAAGAAACAAAAATTATCTCGACGAAGCTACGATCTCAACCGCTCGGCAGGGATCATTGGGAGAGCAATTTCAAAAAGTTCTGCAGATATTATCGCAATTTTTGCTCAGATATTCGTCGCGAGCGCCTTTTTTTTTTCTCGTCATAACGACGGGGGATCGATGATCGTGACGAAACGAGAACAATCGCGCACACTCAGATGTGTCCCATGTCCCGGGTATTCCCTCGCTCCTTTCAACCTGTGCGTAATTTGGCCTTAATCGTTGCATGATTACAGCCCCGCCCCCCCCCCTCCTCCGAAATCTACGTACTTGTTTGTGTACGGTCGAGCGACCGGCGACAACGGACGTACACGTACGTGTCGCTAAAAAGGAAATAGCTTGCACTAACGATGTAAAATCCGATCGGATATCGCCTGATCGGCGATGACCAACGATTGGCGGATTGAGAAACGATCGCGCGAAAAAAGAAACAAAAGAAAAATAAGATGCGAGAGCTTGTTTTGCGTAATGTCGATCGGATCAGTCGATCAATCAGTTCCGATCGATGTGGCGAGCAATTCGAACGATCGAGCATTTAACGATGCTTATTAACATACACTCTTTCACTCGATTCGTTGGATTTATGCGATTTCTCAGCGCCCTTACCCTCTCTCTTTAATCTGTCAATCTATTTCTCTGTCTCTCTCTCTCTCTCTTTCTCTCTCTCTCTCTCTCTCTCTCTTTCCTTGTCCATTCGAACTAACTTTTCTCTTTTTCCTGTCTTTATCTCTCTGTTCATCCTTGTCTCTTTGTCACACTCCCTTCCTCCCCCTCTGTCTCTCTCTCTCTCTCTCTCTTTCTCTCTCTCTCTCTCTCTCTCTCTCTCTCTCTCTCTCTCTCTCTGTCTCTCTTTATTGTTTTCACTCATATGCTCTATATATTTTCCTCCCTATTTTCCTTCCGTATACATGTACACTCGCGTACACGTCCACACACAGTACACACACACACACACACACAGTACACACACACACACACACACACACACACACACAAACTCGAAGCACACAAAGCACATACCCATACAAAACTATATGCGTGGGCACGCCCTTGCTGATGACTCATAACACTCTACTTTCTGCTCGTATACTCTTACTCAGGGATTGGAGCCGGTATGCCTACCGTGAGATCAGTTTTTGATGCCGCAAACACCGGGAGAGACCTAATTGCGTTTTTATCATCGGGGCAAGAGCAGAAGCATTAAGGATCGTTTTTGATGTTTGCGGCATTGAAACCTGCATATCTCTGATACCGGCGCGTATACTACTTTTCTGCATATTTCTCTCTCACTCTTTCTCTCTCTCTCTCTCTCTCTCTCTCCCTCCCTCTCTCTCTCTCTCTCTCTCTCTCTCTCTCTGTCTCTCTTCTCTCTTTCTCCGTGAACTAACAGGTCCTAATTCGCAAGAGAAGCACAGCACGAACGCAGCCGCCGCATGCGAGATTAACCAACCGTCTCGTAACGGGAGAAGCGCAAGTGTAATAATCTCGCTAGAGAAAAATCGGGTGCTTTCTGCTGCTCTCGCACGCGAAGTTGAGTGCACCGAATGCCACACGAGCACAAAGGGATGATCAGCTACCAAAGGACAGGGAGGCGCGCGAAAGCTTTTTACCGCCGATTAGAGATGCGTACAGCTTGTCACACCGAGACACTTAGCTACTTACGTAGTGTGTGTGTGTATGCCGTTTTCGTAGGTGAGCACAGAATCCCAAGAGAGCGAGAGAGAGAGAGAGAGAGAGAGAGAGAGAGAGAGAGAGAGAGAGAGAGAGCGAGAGAGAGAGAAAAGACTCTCTTTCTCTCTCTCTCTCTCTTTCTCTCTACCACTGGACACGTCGTATTTCGTAAATCGCGAGCGCGAGCGACGCACAACGGCCGCGACGAGAGGACGACGTACCACCGATGCAATCGACGGCACTGTTCACGCCAGAGGTCGTCCCCTCGGACATCTCACACGTGTCCTTCGAAGGATTTCCGAAACGTAGTCCTGTTGAGATCGCTTCGAAAGTCGCGAACGAAGCGCGGACTTGGTGTCCCGATGATAAAATCGACGATGGGGTCGATTGCGACACACGCGTATCGATGGCAATGTCGAGGATCGATAGCTTCCTCGCGGCCGGCCAATCCGATCGCTCGTCTCGAGGCCGACGGTGTGTCCCTCGGCGCCATTACGAAGGTCGCTCGCGCGCGGCGGACGCGTATTCGTTCTCGGCGTAGACTTTGCGGGCCGACTCGACGTAGCTGACGTCGTACATCCAGCCACCTATCGTAATTCCCGTTCTCCGTAAAGGAGCGTCACTCCTTCCACGAGCTGCGAACGTGTGCAATAGTGCTGAATAGTGACTAGCGAATTAGAGACGACAGGCGTAGAGTGTGAAACGTAGAGAGTGTGACAGGCAATGGCGCGCGGTTTTCGCGTTTGTGCCGCGATCAACAGGTAAGGGGAAATCGCACCTGCTTTCATATTCAGCGGCGACCAGCACGACGCTAGAGATTGACGAAGATGGGCGAAGCGCGGCCGAAACGCACGAGACGAAACGAGACGCGACGACCGATTCGACAGCGCGCAGGCGCGGGCGCGAATCTCAACGAGAGCCGCGCGCACACCGGCGGAAGCGGCAACGAAAGCGCGGCGGCGTCCCTTTGGCTCTTTCGCGCTACGCGACTTGCTTACGCTAACTGCTTTCTTTCACGTTGGGGATCTTGATGCGCGGGGCTACTCATGCACACTACGCCGCTGAAGACTGCGAAGAATTTCTCGGCCGAGCGATCGCGCCGGACTCGTTTGATCGCGCGCGAGCGGTGCTTCCCACTCGCCCGCGATCTCGCGTATTTCTTCCTCTCTCTCGCTCTTCTTCCCGTTCGTTACTTATTCGCATCTCCGTTGCACCTGTTACTCATTTTTCGACTGTACACAGAAACAAACGGGGAAGTATAACGTATACTTTGCCGCTCTCTCTTTCTCTCTCTCTCTCTCTCTCTCTCTCTCTCTTTTTCTCTCTATCTCTCTCTCCCTTTCTCTCTAACGCTTCACGTTCCACCGACATTTCGCGCACCGAGCGTCGTATGTGCCTTAACAACTTGGGCGATCTTCAGCTTTGCGCGCAACGCGTGTGGCAAGTTGTACACTTGGTTCTGCGTAGGAGGGCTCTCGTCCTCGTTGCTTTGGGTAAATTGCGCTTGGAAAGTGACGAACAAAAATGCTGAGGCATATATGGCGCCTGCCCGAGTCGAAGAATTCTGGCTTTTACCTTAATCGCGCGAATTTCGTCGCAGCTTGAAGGACCGACGGAGAGAATCTCGAGGTATTATTTCTTGCGGGCGATTCTCTTTGGATGCTGCAAGTGCTTACTCGCGGCTGTCTTGTCGAGGCTTGAAGACGGGCGTACTTGCGAATTATTTAATATTCGATCTCCTCGAAATTCCCCATCCGCCCAGTTTATCTTGCTCATTTCTTAGCTTTATTGAGCAATATATCCGTCATTTAAAGGGAATTTAAGGGGACTGGGAGAGTCAGATTGCTGAAAAATCGTGCTTGTTTTTGATAATATTTTGTGACGAACTGAATAAATGTGCAAGAATAAAAAGAATGAAAGGTATAGTTATACAACATATGAAGAGTAGACAAAAATTTTGTTTATTAACAAATATTCGTATAAATATACGATATATATAGCTGAAATATACTTTTTTTTTTTTTTTTCCAAGTTATCGTTTTTGCAGTAATATCTCGGCTCTCGGTGGTCCGATCAGAGCGAATTTTAGCTAGAAATCTCGAGGAGGCTTATCATTATATGAATCACTAGAAAAAAAATATCGAACAAAATGAACAAAATGGCAGCTATTATTAAGAAAAAATTCAAATTTTTCAGTTCTTTTACAATAAAAAATTAAGGAAAAAATTCAAATTTTTCAATTCTTTTACAATAAAAAATTAATATCTCGAAATGAAATATTTTGACGGAGTTGTCCATAGTTCACCTGAGAGCCGCATGAACGAATATTATTGCTTTAAAATTTCACATCGATACGAAGCTCAGTTTCGGAGAAATCGCTGCAGAAAGTTGAACAGTAAAATTTCGAGAAAAACGCATTTAAAATTTATGTATAATTTTTGTAAAATATACGTGGACGTATATTTATATGAGTATTTGTTTAAGAACAAAATTTTTCTATTCTTCATATGTTATATAAATATATCTAAAATTCTCATT